AATCAACAGTAAATAGAATTTGCACCTTTAGCGAATGATTAGGGTCCTGCGAGCTGAACACAGATGCCAAGACAGCTAAGGTAGTAGGTAATAGGAAGTAGCTGGACGCACACACGCAGCCACACACATTAATACATACTCACATAAGCTAACGTGCAACTTAACGTGACTCTGGGGCATGCATTAAATATCTGCTTATAAGGCGCCGCCACAGCCAGAGGCAAGAGGCAAGAGTGTGTTAGTTTTGTGTAATGCGTTCGTAAGTCTCTGGCTAATCCCATTACAGCTGCTCGCAGCAATGCAGTCAACAAACACAACTATAGCTATGCATCCCTTTAGATACTCTACACTGTCTAGCAAAGTTATGTTCATTATTAATCCAACATTTTTATAGAAGAAGTTTGTGGTGAATCTAAAAACCAAAAGAAAGATATTCATTTATTATTATTTAGATAAAATGGAGTCAAAATCTTGAATTTGGCTTGGATTTTTATAATAAGTGCGAGTATATTATGGAAATAAATCATTTTTAGTAACTTCTATGACCTGTTTTAATTTATTTTTAAACAACTTGGTGTGTCTTTTAGAAATGTTGTTTGAAAATAATCACGAAGGGCGTTTGTATTCCTTTCTGACCAAATTTTAACAATATTTTCTCTTCAAAAATAGTCCCGAAAGCTGAGGCAAATATTATTAATTTATTGTAATTGTGTGTTCGGATAAGTACATTAATTATTTTTAACAACTACTATGACCTGTTTTTATTTTATTTTAAACAAATTAGTATGCCTTTAAGAAATTTTGTTAGAAAATAATCACGAAGGGCGTTTCTATGTCTGCCTCTTGGATGCTTCCTCACCATGTTTTAACTATTTTTTTTCTTCGAAAATAGTCCCGAAAGTTTAGACAAATATTAATCAAGAGACTGTGAGAACCATTACTCTTTCATTGTAATTTTGTTTTCGGAATACTGGACTGGTGGTCTACCCCTGTCTTCCGATTTATAACTGGAGTAGTATCATTTCTTGTTTTGGAATATTAAATCCATAAGCGTAATCTCTAACACATTTTATTTTCACACGCTTTTAAGGTATCTTCAGATATCTTAAGTGACTTTTGAGAACAATTTTTTATTTAGTCATTAAAAACAGTCATACAGGCATTAGAACTATTTCTTGGCTTTATGCTTAATTTTGTGTACTTCTATGCTTTTTTAGTTGTCTGTTTGAATATGTCTCTTTACTAACTAAGACCACTCATAAATTGAATGTAAAGATTTACTTTTCGCAAGGAAGCTTTGGTAAAATTTTCTGTAACTATTCTTTGAACTGTATTTGCAAAACATATTTAAATTTCTGCTTTCTTTGAATTAATAAATTTTTTTTACGTGAAAAGTATTTTAATGCGATTTAATTTAAAATTATTATTCTGGTTATATTTAAACAGTAGGGTACAATTATTTCAGTGTGATTATATGGAAGATGCTAACAAATTGGAACAAGAAACCAAGTCTAGGACTCTTTTGCCTTGACAAAAACGACTTACTTGGATACACAAACCTGACAAAAAACCACTATCTGCAAACTTTTCCATAGGACCATAAGTAATATGCACCTAATTCTGTTTTTACACGGTAGATTAGTTCCAGTAACAACCGTGTAAAAAAGACATAGATCATTTGCGAAAATATGTGGATGGTTCCTTATCTCTAAAGAAATATATATGTAATTTTACATTTTCAAACCGTGTCATATCGAAATCGTGTCAAAAAAGACAGCTTAAAAACACAATTAGATGATATTCTTAGGACATCTAGTTCTTTCGCATAACCGTGCCAAATTATGAAGTTTCTCTTATTTTGTAAAACATTGCATCGAATTTGTATTTGGGAACAGGCCTGAATAATTGGACAGTTCTCTTGCAACAGCAGTCTTGCACTTTATTTTGTCTAATAGTGTTTATGGCGTGGAACTTAAATGCCCTTCGCAATTCGCAATTTGCGGCATCGGTATGGAAAATTGTCTTGTCGGCGCCTTTTATATAGTATATCAAGTATATGCAGCTATATTGAAAATCAATCAAATATTTTCTTTCTTTTTTTTTTTTTTTTTTTTTGGCTGGCGGCAGGTGGCACTTTGATTTAGATAAATACGCGCTGTCGAAAATTTTGAGTTATGACTCTTTTGAGGTTTGGCTCTGCTGGTGATGGCGATGGCGATGGCGTTGGCGACACTTTCGCGCATTCCAGAGCAGAGCGGCATTTGCATGCCAAAGCATTAACGCTTTGCTGGTAATTGCATAAAATGTGTAGCAGGGCATAAACGAACTGAAAAAAAGGAGAGCAAAAGCCCAAAATGAAATCCATGGCAGCCAACCAAGCAGTCAAAACAGTCAGCCATCCAATCATCACCAGCTCCAGCACCAGCACCAGCACCAACCATCATCGTCATCATCATCATCGTCATCATCATCAGCAGGAGCAGCAGCAGCAGCAGCATCGTCGTCGTCCAACCAGCCGTGGAGTCGTCACTTCGACACTTTGCTTGCCTTTGCCTTTTGGTCTGGCACTCCTGCTTTCCTGCTTTGGCTCGAATATCGATTGAGTTGCCGTTGCTGCGTACTTTTTGATTCAATTATAGTTATATATAGCAAGCGTATCGGGCATTTTTTTCCTTTGCATTTTTTGACACGAGCAAAGGCAAAGTTTATTATTCGTAAAAACAAAAAATGAAAATAAAAATAAGAGCTCGCGCTGGCAATAGGAAATCGAATTGCTTTGCGGATTTCTTTTAGCGAACGGCATTTAATGGAATTTTTATGCATTTGGCATTTTGATGGGAGCCCAGCAACGTGTTGGTTGAAGAAACCTGACATGGGTGCGAGTTATGACAAAAATATGTGGAGCATGTCAGAAGTTAGTGCCGCACGTTGCATTCAAGCAGTTGTTCGGGAGAGTTTAGAGGCATCGCACAGCTAGCTTAAAGTTTCGGCATTTCGGTTAAGCTCAAAAGCTCATCATACTAGAAATGTATTATTTTCTAAATAACATGAAAATGTTCATTTTAAAAAGCGATATTAGAGACTTTAGTGCTAAAGACATGAAATGAAGTTGGCTTCATATAATATGAAGAAAAAGCACACTATTTTATACTATCTGTTATAAAGATAAGCTATAATAATACTAGAAATGTATTATTTTCTAAATAATATGAAAATATGCATTTTAAAAAGCGATATTAGAGACTTTAGTGCTAAAGACATGAAATGAAGTTGGCTTCATATAATATGAAGAAAAAGCACACTATTTACTATCTGTTATAAAGATAAGCTATAATAATACTAGAAATGTATTATTTTCTAAATAATATGAAAATATGCATTTTAAAAAGCGATATTAGAGACTTTAATGCTAAAGACATTAAATGAAATAATTTGAAGAAAAACCACACTATTTTATACTACCTGTTAAAAAAAATAAGGTGAACATCTTATTCAACGAAAAATTCTACCGAATACTGTAGCTTATGAAGTTATTTAAAAAAGAGTGATTTCTATTTAGTTGGGGCTCCTTTGGCAAAAGAGTTTTGAAGAAATTAGTTTTCTGAATAACACAAAATCGCAAACAAGTTGATTTTTAATTTCCCAATTAATTTATTTTTATACCCTGTACCCTAAGGGTGAAAGGGTATACTGGTTTTAATATAAATACATATTTCAAAATAGCATTTGCCTCGATTTCAATAATTAATTTTCATATAATATTGGGAATATCAATATTTTCTAACTTAAATGGTTTTATGCATGTTTTCTTGTTTTTTTTATTTGAAATGTGGGAATAATATTATTTATAAAAGGACGTTTGCATTTTAATCGCATTAACAATTTAGTTAAAACTGTGATGTTGAAAAGATATTCACATTACTCCTAATTCCACTTCTGGTTCAGTATTTTGATTGCATTTAAATGGTAACAGTTAGAGTAAATGACAAATTAGTTTAATTCACATCTTTAAATATTGTACAAGGAGAAAAGAATAGTTTTGTTATTTGCAGCTAACCCTGTGATTCAGACTTTAGAGAGCTGGTTTCCATTTCCGTGTCATTTACGGGGAAAACAACAAACTACAATGCTCAAAGGACCAGAATCAAGGATATGCGATATTTAAGCACCACTTCGACGGCTCAAAATTTTGAAAATTCTTTTGAACTTTTTTCTCTTTCCTCAAGGTTAGGCTTTTGGCTGCAGCTCGAAAATTTATTATTTGTTTTTGTGATAGCTTTATTTCCATTTCCAACTATTTTTATTTTGGTTCTATCCCCGTTTTCGGCTGAATAATTTTTAATAATTTGTTTTCGTAATCGTTTTAACATATCGGGCGGGTAAGCTTAACATTAATTTGTGTTTTATGAATTGTAAATTGTAATATTCTTCAGTCCTAATTTGTCCTTATTTCTAAGACAACAATATGTTAGTTTTTCGAACTCACATAATTTAAAATTCCCTAAGTTCTAGTAGTTTGCATTTTTGAATGTAGGCTGCTAATTGAAGCACTCTTTATTCGCAATCTTGTGCCACAATCGCACTTCACTCCCTTTTCGCTGCAGCCACTTGTACATTTACCCTCTGACCGAGCCGGCGAGTCTCACTCTTCGTCCGCCCAAAGCAAAAGCCACCGTCTGGGCATAAATTCCAGCCCCGGCGGTAACAATTACCGAGCAAACGCTCGACATGTGCGCCCGTGTAACTCGATACTCGAGCAAATGCGCCACTCACTCCAAGTGCCGCTAATAGAATAATTCGTTAATGTAACTACCAGAGGCAGCAGTGCTGGTCGAGAGATATAAATCCCATCATATTGACGATTATCATTGGCTTTTTATCTAAATTTAATTCGGCAGCGAAAAAGGAAGAGATGCGTCGGCGATAGGCGCCGCTGCACATTTGCAGGCCATCAACAAAAACAAAAACATAAAGGAAGATGTGCTCAGATATATACTCACATGGATGCGTTGCGGCGAAGGGGTAGTCCAGGGTTGGCAGGCGTGGCGGATGCGGTCCGCAGGGATGCAGGGCGGGCGGGCACTGGTAGCAAAACATTCCTCTGCCCGCAGCTGCAGGACCGAGCTGTAATACACAGAAATGGTGGGGTGAGACAAATAATACTTTCACAGATGATGCAGGAGAGGAGAATCGTTTCATAAATTGCATATAATTTTTATTAATTTAGGTGGCAATCACGTACAAGTATTTCGTAAAAAGGCAAGGCGCACTTGTAATTTAAATACAATTCAATCGAATATCACGACCACGCCGGCAACGACTCTGGTCCACAGAGATGCGGGCCCAGACTCAGGCCGAACCGAACCAAACCGAACCGAGTCGAATCGAATCGAATCGAGTCAAGACGAGTCGGGCCGAGCCGCTTTAATGTTGTCATATGCACCTCAAACTCAATTCGATTCAATTAAAGACAATTACGGCCTTATGACAAATAATCTACAATCGATTTGTGTCCGTTTGTTCGTTGCTGTTGTTGTTGTTGCTACTTTTTGCAGTCGTCGCCGCAGTTGCATTTGCGCATGCGCCGCCGTCTGCATAAAATTAAATTGTCCTCAAACGAATCAATTGATTTAAATTAATTGCATTTGCCGCAAAAGAGTCGACAAATGCGAGAGCTGGCCTGACAAACTGAGTGACTGACTGACTGCCTGCGTGACTGTCTGACTGGCTGATGAATCGCTACATAGTTACAAGTACGACTATATATATACATATATATGATTATTACTTTGCCGCCTCGTTGGCGCTGTGCATGTTTGGCGCTTAATTACTCTGGAATTTTAAATACGAGTGCAGCGAAAGAGCAAAAGTACAAAGACTCCGCACTCTAAAGTGCTGAAGAATGAAAGCTGTCACAGAAAATCATATAACTTTATTGGAAATAGATTAACTTCTGGTAGAATAAGACTTTTAGAGTTGTGACTAAATTTAAAAAATTTTTGTTAACGCAGTAATTACTTTTCTTCTCTGTTTATTCCTCTTAAGCTTAGAATTGTTTATTTTAGTTAAGCTTGGAATTGTTTTTAATGGGAGTTTTACCCAATTTTGGGTTGAATTTTTCCAACTTAGTCCAGTTTTGAAACCATAAATAATTGTATTACTACTATACTTGCCAATAATTAATTAATAATAATAATATTTTCGGAAATCAACTTTTTTTCGTTGAGGTATATTTTCCCATATATTACTTTTCTTCTCTGTTTATTCCTCTTAAGCTTAGAATTGTTTATTTTAGTTAAGCTTGGAATTGTTTTTAATGGGAGTTTTACCCAATTTTGGGTTGAATTTTTCCAACTTAGTCCAGTTTTGAAACCATAAATACTTGTATTACTACTATACTTGCCAATAATTAATTAATAATAATAATAATTTCGGAAATCAACTTTTTTTCGTTGAGGTATATTTTCCCATATATCCTTAGTCCATTTTTTACCCCATATGGTGCTTAAATTTTGCGAAAACAAACTTAAAAGTGCTTCTCTTTGTTTTACCAATTTTTATCGAATCTATAAGACATTTGCTCCGTTTCTTTCTACCGACTTATGAGTCTTAGCTTCAGGACTAAATTGACATTTCACCCATTTTAAGTTTTTTGTGGGGCATTCCAGATTTTGGCGGTCAAGACTTTAAGGCTGCATACTGTTTTTGCTCTTGGGGCGGAATATGGAACGGTCATCGGTTTACGACTGTTTCTATATTGTCTATGGTGATCTGTTTATCTGCTGGTGTTATTACAGAACTAAATCAACAATATTTTCACATCTCATCAACCATAACATCGAATCGTATTTGATATAAGAATGAAATATTTAGGTTTGTTTCTCTAACTGTTTGTTAAACTCTGATAGAAGCTGTAGAAGAGTGTTAACTCTTTGTAGTAAGCAAAATGTTAGGATTGTTTATCTGAATGTAAAAGTTCTAAAAGCTAATTTCTGAGTATCATCCCTGCCTAGAGGGCGCGGCTTATCCCTCGTACTAATTATGCCATTCGCAGCAGCAATTATTATCAAGCTCACATATTCATGTAGTCAACAAATTCTTCTCACATTTTCAAAAATCCATTTCAGAAATAGCATTTGATTTGATTTAAAATACAACTCCAGAGGCCGGAGAGCTAGCCAACCCATGCAGTAGTGCCGCAAAGCTGCTCCGGTACTTGCGGGTGGCGTGTGTGTGTTTGTGGATTTAGATAGTACTGTGTACTCTGTGTGCTTTGTCCTGTGCCTGAAACGCGCCTCGTGCCTATTTAATACGGCCAAATAATTCAGCATGAATTATTCAATGGAAATTAATTCACTAACAACACCAACCAACAGAACAGGAGCAACAACTAGCAATGGAGCTCCATTGGTTGCGGCAGGTAACTGGTAACTGGCCCTAAAACTTTACACTACACTGGGCCACAGACTATGGGCCGTAGTCCGAGGGCCGTGGGCCGCATGTGCAACATTAGACACGAAATGGCAATTTTCCATTTGGCAAATGAGTTTTGCGGCCGGGACACTCCAAATATAACAATTATGCAAAATTACAAATTCTCACAATTCTAATGGAATGCCGGGGCCACCATTGGGCCTCTTTTGGGCCTTTTGGGTTGGATGGTGGTGGTGGTGGTGGTGGTGGTGGTGTTGGTGTTGGTCCAGCCCAGGTGATGATGTGGTTTTGTAGTCTGTGCGCCATTCACTTGTTAGTCTAAATGGAAATTTATTGGCGTGGCGCGCAGGTCACACGCTCGTCCTTTTCTGGGTGGGACACAGCTGCTGGCCTCATAGTCAGCAGGAGAGCAGTCGGGAGTCAGGAGTCAGGAGCACGTTAAATTATTTTGCGTGTGTAAATTTGGCGGAAATAGTCTGTAACATGATATGCTAACACTTGTGGTCCCAATTCCATGTGCGGCCGACGTGTCGCATTGCGTCGCCCCGCGCTGCGTCGCTCTGCGTGTGCGGCCCATAAATAAAATTCATAAAATTTTTAACAAATTTACTCAAATAAATTAAAACGGCAAAAAGCCTGCAGCGACAGTGGCAACAAAATTTCTGCACTGGGTGGTAGTTGTCTGGGCGTTGCCCGTCCGTCCGTCCGTCCGTCCGTCCGTCCGTCCGTCCGTCCGTCCATCTGTCTGTCTCTCTGTCTGTCTGAAGTGGTGCTGGTCTGGTTGCGCGATTGGTTGCGGGTTTGCTGCGCTGCTGCGGCTTAGAACACACAACCGTGGGGAAATAAGTCAACTGTAATGCATCATACATAGTAGAACTACAATTAATTTTAATTGCAATATGAACAGCATGCGTATAATCCGGGAAATTAGACTGAGGAGAGGGCCGATGGCTTGCATACAAGCCTGTACAAGAACAACAAATTAAAGAAGTTAAGTTCGTGCTTGTTAGTCTTAACAGTCTTAACATCTATACAGTTCCTCATTTAAGCTAAACTTCAATATGGGTCGAAAAAAAGGAAATTCCTTGAATTGCTTGTTTTATTGAACAGCTTGACAAGACGAGTCGATATGGTCCTGGTTGTTTATCAGTTTTTAAACTTGGCTTGCATGTTATATTCTGATCAGAGTTAAGTCAAATTTCGACTTATTTTTTAACTTTTAGGGAAGCACCTATTTTTCTTGTCGCATTTTATGTAACTTGAAATGAAACTGAGTTGGATTTGGTGCAGTTTTCCCGTTTCACATAAGCATAAATTAATATTTGAACGCATCATGCTTTATTTAATCGAAATTTTAATATGTTGGCTAATTTGGAAAAAGCTGTGTGTGGCCCTCTTGGCCATATCTGTTTCATTCTATCTCTCATTCACTCCCCATAACTAGCGCCTAGCATTAACTGATTTGATTTTAATTTGGTCATTCCTTCATGGGCTTTACTCCAAATGTTTTGCACGCGGTCGCAAGTCCTTCATAGTTCTGTCATCATCAGCCATTAACATTCTATTGTTTTAACACTTAACTGCTAAAGAATTGTGTTCAAATGTGCGTCTGCGAACTTAAAATATATAGCTTGTTCCCTATCGGAAAGTCCACAGAATTGGTGCGATTTGTAAGACGATGTGTCCTGTTTTTAGGATGTCATTTGAAAAAAGGGCATGCCCTTATCTTTTCTGTTCACATTTTTGTAAAATGCAATTCACATTTTATTTCAATTTTTGGGACATTTTCAATTTTGGGGATTAATGACAATCGCACATTAATGCCAAACGTATTTATTTATTTATTTACTTTATTGACAAACAGAGCTGTCGATGTGAAAAAAATTCAAAACAATACAAAACTTAAACTAGATAAAGCTAAAGAAAAACAAAGCCTATAGAAAAAACAAAAAAATATCTAATAACGAATCCGACACGGTGAGGGGATTCTATTTACCAAAGGTCAGCTATATCCCGATTCGCAGCAGAGTGTAGTCAGAGACGTTATTAGAGCTCTAAAAAAGAAAGATACAAGGGCGTACGCAGCTTTTACCAAAAGGGGGGGCCAACAGATTAAAATGTTGATTAAATACTTAAAATTATTTAAGCATATGATCAATGAAAAAATTTCAACAAATCCAATTCAGTTCCATTTTAAGGCGAAATAGTGCGCCATAATCAAATAATCAAAGTAGCGATAACTGATAAAGAGTATAAAGTATGATTAAATTGAAATTGAAATACTAAAATAATAAAAGATAACATATAATTAAAAGCTAAAGATGGAGAAACACTGACCCGTTGGGGGCATGAATAAACGCGCCTTTTCAATCAAAATTAAAAGCAAATCAATCAATATCTGTCTGCCTGTCTGACCATTGATGAACTGAAAACAAGCTTACGTCATTCCAAAAATTCGGAAAGGGTATTAGTTCGTTCCTCTACTTATATGTAATGCTTTCTAATTAAATCGATTTTTTAGAATGCTGTCTACTTTTGGGGATGAGTGCTAATTGGATTTTTTTTTAATATTTTTTTTTATAAAAATTAAAACTTTAATTAAACTGTTAGTATTTATAACAACTTATATTAAACTTTGAGGATGAATAAAAAGACAGCTTTAACTAGGAATTTAGTCTTATTTAATTATT